CAGTTCCCTGTCCCCAGTTCCCTGTCCCCAGTTCCCTGTCCCCAGTTTGCTGCGACCCAAGTTCCCTGTCCCCAGTTCCCTGTCCCCAGTTTGCTGCCCCCAGTTCCCTGCCCCCAGTTCCCTGTCCCAAGCCCCCTGTCCCCAATGCCCTGTCCGCAGTTCCCTGCCCCAAGTTCCTGTCTCCAACTCCCTGCCCCCCCCACCTCCTTGCCGACAGTTCCTTGCCCGGAGTCCACTGTGTTCAATACGCCAAAGTTGCGACCAGATAGCCTTGGACGGGCATCCACAAAGCACCAATTCACAGAGATCAACTCCAAAAAAGAAATGTTATTGCCACATTGTAATATAATCTCCCAAGAACAATCGATATTCCAGTGGCTTAGGTCCGTTTCTCCACAAAAAATGCAAAATTCAATGGCGCTCTCACAATGTGCCGTTAGGCAATTTTGATTGAAACCAAAAACAACAAAACCGAATCTTGCAAAATAATCACGCTATGTGAACTGGACAAGTTTGGCCACGGACATGCTCAAGACAGGTTCGCTGTCCACATCACCTGCGCAAAAACCAAACCAGTTCGTTGACTCGTCAATCCAGATGCAGTGGTTCAGAGTTGACGGGGCCCCGCCCCACGTCTCCCACAAACATGCAATGGTTGTCAACGCACGATAAATTTCCAGTTGTGCAGGTGTCATCTGTCATCCAACACAAGTGCCAGCGGCCAGCTCTTCGGACCCCCTCTTTATAATAGAACCCAGATGTTTCATCGGCAACAGCACTGCGGTTTTACGCATCCTCCGTCAGAATCCATCCTCGCGCAAGGGAGGCGAACCCTCGTAGAACCCCAGATGCTCCCCAAAATAATATCGTATACATATTTTTCGTCCGCCCCGTCCGCCCTGCCCCTCCCTCTTAGTAACAAAACTCAGATGTTCCATCGACAACATGATCGCAGTATTGCGCGCCATCCATCAGAATCCGTTGCACAGTTAGTGGGGTTCTTACGCCGGTAGGTTCACAAAAATGCGAAAGCACGTGGTGAAACAGACCACACAAAATGCACGCAAGTACTTCACCAAGTAGTTGAACAGTATTGCTACTTTTGCTCAGTGCAGTTTGCCAATACATTGAACCGGAGTGCTGCAGCACCAGCAGGATGAGCTTATCCGAAGGCATGTAAATCCAAAAAATAAAAAATGCAATGTTATTGCCTCTAGCCAGGTTCACACGCAATCTCGCGAGGCGTAGTCCCAGTGTGGCAACGGATCTCTGCGCCAATATGACTTTTGTACTGGACCGTTGGCATAAGCAAAAATCATACAGCGTGCCTGTCGTCTTGGCATCGACTGTTTATGCCCGAAGTTGACATAGCAAAATATCAGAAATTGAAGAACTACAATTCGAGCACGTGCGAACAATTCAACTCGTGGTTCGAACTTTTCGTGCCCCTGCGACCCGGTACCTTTGATGTGTTTTGCCTCTTGGTTGCGCGACTCTGGAACGAGCGAGTCGTGGCAACTCGAGTCCCACAAAATGCTGCCTCACAGTCTCGTCCACCCCAAAATAATATCGTTTACGTATTTTTCGTCCGCCCTGCCCGATGTAGCATCGAAACAAACTCTTTATTCTTCCTACGTAGCATCGAAACAAGCTCTTTATTCTTGCTGCATGGGGGGGGTTGCGGACCCCCCCCACCCCCCCTCCGCGCACCACGAAATCTGCACTTCTCGCACCATTCCCTGCACCTGCCACGAAATGCTTTCTTTTTGAAGCCTCCTCCCGAAATACCACGAAGGTTCCAACGAGTAGACTTTAGGCTGAAAGATTTCTGAACCTGACCTAACGGGCGCTCAATCTTTTTGTGGTGAGCAAACAGCCTCACGCCGAAACCAACAAATATTCGAACGCCGGGACCGAAAACCTTCAGCCCTCCTTTCTACCCCCCCTTCTTGAGCCCCCCTACGTATGCCCCTAGGACCTAAAAGAAAACAAATCAAAAAATGTTTTTGTTTTCCATCTCTTCTATCCGTCTGAATCGCTTCTTCTCACAAAGCCCCCCGAAAATCCGCTCTGAGATTTCACAATTACGTTCAAAAACCAGCAACTACTACGTAACGCAATCGTCTCAATCACCTCGAGCAAAATAAGTGGCGACAAGCGGCATCGCATGCCTTTCCATGGATTCAAAAACTGAGCTTAGAGTGCTCAACACCAAATAACCATTGAGGTGTCGAGGTGATCCACATCAGCCCCCTCTTCACACCGCCCTGCAACCGAATAGCCCTGAAGCCTCCCTAATCCCGCGCTCAATCCCCGCAAAACCTTCGACCTTCAGAAAAGCCCCCTTTAAGCCCCCCTGAAACCTGCCGTGAAGGCTCCCCTTAAGCCCCTTAAGCCACCCCTAAGCCCCCCTTAAGCCGCACGACCTTCGACCTTCAGCGCCCCGTAAGCCCCCCCCTAAACCCCCCCCCTGAAGCCTCAAGCCATCTGTTGAGCCCCGCCTTCGTTCGAAGACCTTAAGCCTTGGGCCCCCTTAAGCCCCAAGACCTTCGACCTTCAGAGAAGCCCCCCTCAAGCCATCCCTCAAGCTTACGCTTAAGCCCCGCCTTTGTGCCCTGTGAGCCTCCCCCCCTTTTTTTTAAGGGAGAAGCCCCAGTCCCTCCACCCCACCCCCAGTCCCCTGTCCCGTCCCGTCCTGCCCCCAGGTCCTTGTCTCCAGCCCTGTCCCAAGTTCCCTGTCCCCAGTTTGCTGCTCCGAGTTCCCTGCCCCAGTTCCCTTTCTAGTTTGCTGCCCCCAGTTTCCTGCCCCCAGTTCCCTGTCCCCTATTCTTTTTTTGCACGGGTCGAGGCGCTATGTGCGCAGATGATGCACAAGCCTTAGGCTAGTAAAAGAAGAGATACGAACCAAGCAGCGACAGCGGAACCAGAACAAAAACCAACCCAAACCAAAAACACCCAACCAAACACACCCCAGGAAGCAAGGTTCGTACCTCAAGTTGGCTACGTCAGCCATCGGAGAAGAGTGAAACCGGGTGAAACGGAGGGGCAGCCGGCATCCTTTGCACCCAGTTCATCACTATCAGGGCATGGTCCTCTTTCTTCCAAAGAGGCAGGGAGATTGGTGTACCGCTGCCAAAATGGACGATGTTTTGCCTTCATCTTGCTTTGTTTTTCTCCACGAGCACGGACGCCATGTGGGCGGTGTGCCCAGGTCATCATAGAAACAAAACCACCCCAAAAAGCACCAGGACCAAAAGACCCCAACGACCAATGTGAGCAGAGTTTCTTCTGTACTAAGGTACTAAGGTGAGACATGTGAAAAATGAGAG